GCGTAGCGTGCTACGGCAGGGGAGTCGTAGAAGTGTCGGTACGGTGTCTCAGAGAGCCAGGACTATCAGCCCTGTTCTGGACTCGTGCCAAAGCCTGCCCCAGGTTGACTCAGCAGTAGACGGGCACCTGGTCATTCGGGCTGCAGATCCAAAACGTGGCTGGACTTGATGCTGGCCACGTTACTTCCTCGTGCGCTGCTGTCTCAGAGACTGGTGTCGTTTAACCACACTAGCCCAGTGGACTGTTAAGCTTGGAAAGACCTTTCAGGATTGAAGCATGGTGAGATCTACTGTGTGCACATCCCAACTACAGCTCCAGAAAGGGATGGTGAGACCCAGTCTAATACCCTAGATCAGGGGTCAGCAACCTTTTACTAACCCAGGCCACGCCTCGCAACCCGGCTGGCGCTGTGGGCCACCACTCTCCTCCAGCCAGTCCAGCAATGGTGAGCAGAGGCTGCAGTGAGGAAGAGCAGCCTGGAGTAGCTGGCTGGAGGCAACCAGTGCACCGGATCAGATGGCTGGAGACTTGCGCACCCTTAGCAAAATGCAGATTGGATCAGACCTTTGCGAAGCAAATCCATTTCCTTCTAGGGCTGGATTTGACCATGGGTTGCCGACCTCTTTCCTACATCCTTATCCACTTTACCTGATTTAAGCCAACTTCCATCTCCTCTGGCTTCCCTGTCATCTCTCGGCTCCTCTTCCATATTGTGGCCCCCTGACCAAAGCCCAACCCCCTGTCTACCCCCACTCTTCATTTTACAATCAACGTGCCTGCAGGTGTCTTAGGGAAAGTAAGGGCTCATTTGCTCAGGCACCACGTTACGGCCTCCCCAGGGTGCTTCTGCTCTAAGACAGCATGTGGCCAGTCCATGCACTTCAGGACTTAACTGTGCTTTAGGCTTCACTTTAGGATCCTTGCTCTCTCTCCCCCAGGCCAAAAAGTGAGCCCCCAGGCAGTCAGCCAACGCTTCCCCTGCCACATCTGCTCAGAGGAGTTCTAGTGACACAGTCCTACTTCCAAGGGCTCCACGCTGCAGACAGAAAGGCACGAGTCTCATTTGGGACTGTCTCAGCAATTTACAGATCTTTTCTTCCCCCGTTAGGTTTTTATTTTACGTCTATTGAGCAGAGATTTTATTTGCATACCCAAAGCTTGCTTGCACGCGCCGTATCGATAGTGCAAGAACGCGTGCCGAGCCTTTTCACTTTGCCTCAGAGTCAGAATTAGGACCAGAAAATGACTGCAGGTGAGAATTTACATATTTTCATCTGGTTTACAAGCCCTGCTCACAAACTTACTCACTCTTGGAGGGTGCTCATTAAAAAAAAAAAAAAATTGTATAGAAGCTTCTGAAACAGCCCTGAGACACTTTTCTGATCATTTCCATATATTAATAGGCTCACTATTATCTGGGAATGTGCAGACAGGCTAACACTAAAAGATGCCCTTTAAGCAGACATTTCTTACAAATGACAGATTTTATCAATTTTGTTGAAGCAGAGATTAAATACTTCTGGAGTTAAATCAACCCCCAAGACTCTCTGAAGAGGCCTAATCATTTCATTTATGACTAAAAAGCAATAATATAATGGACCCCTCTTAGTGCTAAGCCATCTTGCCCTGCAGAACAATTTCCATGTAAACAGTCTGCACTAGAACCATAATTACAATGCACTGAAACAATTAGCAACTTTCCCTCTAATTTCCTACAAACAGGGTTTTGCTTTCTCTGGGCTCCTCTGTAATTAAACACCAGGGCCAAATTCTGCTCAGCCTTACACCCTGAAGCTCCACTAACATCAAAAAGGCAAAGGATCAGGCTTTACATACAAAATGAAAATTGAGGAATAGCTGGCATATCCTAGGGTAAAAAACAAAAGGGTTTCTCTGCTGCAGTGATGATTAGTTTGCTTTATTTCGAGCTGTTTTCTTGCTGTTTCCAAGGCAGAGTCAAGGCCATGTTAATGCTACAACTCCAAATACCTTGGCAGAGATTTTCAAAGAAAACGATGTGAAAATAATCTATATCTCCAGGTCCCGGTCAGGTGGTCCAAGGAGCTTTTCTTACCATAACAAGGGAGGATCTGCCCGTCTTCAAGCAAGGCCAGTTCAAGACTTACTAGCTTCAGGTTTCCAAAGGGTTCTTTTTTCATATCAACTTGGCAAAGAAAAGTCAAGCACATCCTGCTGTCTCCTGAAGAGCTGGCTCACATGCTTTCAGTACCTTGAGCTGTGATCAAATCTGAAGCAGTCCCCAAGGCTGGAGGGACACCAAGCCCAGAAGAGGAATGGATTCGGTAGCAAACAAGCTGAGAAGATGGGTACAGCAGGGTACTGCCAGGAGATACGGTACTAAGAACGGTCTTATATAGGGAACAAAAATATACTGCACCAAGATGAAGCCAGGGCCAAATACCTACAAGTACTGCATTACAGAGTCTGTTTGAATCTGGTTTCCGTAATACGTTTCTGCTCTCGTTTTTGCATAAGCCTTTCAAGCTTCATACTGCAGACAACGAGACGCATCGAAGCAGGAGGGGTTGCGTCCTTGAGAGGGTCTCCTGCTTAATCTGAAAGAGCTTGAGAACCAGTGATCTATACTATTTCTGCTCTGATCAGGGTCACAGAACATCGCGCTTTGAGTTGTTCCACTTCAGCGGTCCCGAACTTCGATTCATTGTGTTGACGTCCAAGCCCTTGAAGCATATGATTTACAGTAGAATTCTTTCCTAAATGAGACTTGAATAGACATAAGCAGGAAAAAGGCTTTGGATTTCCATGAGCCATTATATTAAAATGCAAACACATGTACGCATTCCAGAACTCAGCTGATTTTCCAGCGTCAGCGGTATTTCACCAGAGTTACAGTAAGTTGTCTGTGGCAACCATATCTCAAGCAACCCTGCAGACCAAATGCAATTTGGTAATGCGATTGCGAACATCCATCGACTTAGATGCTCTAAAATTAAAGTGAAGGAAACCTGGACCAGATTGCAGATGAACAAGCAGCCAAAAAAAAAAATCAATATATTTTTTCAATTGTACTAAGTGGTTGTGAATATGACTCATCCCACAGGAAACCAAGTACAGCCACCTCATGATAGGTCACAGATCTATTTTGATTTGGCTCTTTTCAAGGGAAGCTGAAGCTATAGTAATTTATAGGTTAATAAGCAATAGACTTTTCAGTATTTGGCTGAACAAATAAAATGAGCCTTAGCTCTTGGCTTGCTGAAAGGTCACAGAGTAATAAAAAAATGTGATGATCCCAAATACTGTTAAGGAAACATTCATTCAAAAGACCGGATTGGGCTTGACTCGCTGTCAACTTTAGATAGTTTGGTCCTGAATCCGTAAATTTTGTTAGATTCAAGCATCTGGTTTGCGGACCAGGTGCAACCCTGCCAACGGCATGAAGAGTGCAAAGCCACCGCTGGATCGTTCTGAAAGCAATGGCAATGAAAACAAGGCTGACCCAAAATGAAGGGCTCGGACCCCATAATAGCCATCTTTATAGGGTTCCTGCCAGAGATGGTACTCCTCTGTATCTCCTAGCCAAAGCTGGTGTGGCTGTGAACTATGACAGAGCTGCGTGGAAATGCTCCAGAGCTAGGTCTGCTATAGGAGAGCGTGCCATGCTTCTTCCAGAAAGAGAAAGTGGGCGACCCCGTGGAAAGACAGACACTATGCCCACAGAGGATGATGCTGACAGTGGTGGTGTTAAAAATAATGCCTTTTATTCTGAAGAGTTTCAAGACACTTTGCTAATTCTATAGAGAAAACACTTCACCAGAAACTGAAATGCAAGGCGCTCACCACTCAGTACACTAGACTTGCCGTCTAGGAAACACAAACCAAATTCTGCTTACTAAAGCAGCTGTTCCAACAAGCTTGCTGTGCTGCTTAGAAAAGCCAACATTGGAATGGAGGAGATTTAAACCTGGGACACTTCAGGTGTATAGAAAGGACCCATTAAAACCTGAGCAAACAGAATCAGATTCTATTTTCCCTATTAGGTCGCGCTTAGGCACCTAAGTGCAAGTCCCTAATAGTTTGTGCAAAAAATGGGTGGTGCCTCCTCAGTGCTTTTTTTGCGACTCATTCTTAAAGGTGAGATGAAAGTGAATCACAAAGGAAGATGCATTAATGGATTTGCAGGAACGGACCATGGTGGGACGGAACTACACTTAGATGCCTAAGTCCAATTAGATGCCTAATAGGCGGACTAGAATTTGGTCCAGTCACCTCGCTGAAAAGCAGCCATCTCTGGAGTGGGAAGTGGTACTTCTCGGCAGTATGCTGCAAAGCATGCAACAGCATAAGGCAGAAAGTGAAGCTGTGTGACGGAGCCAAGGAAAACAGCAGGGGAAATGTAGACGAGCAGAACCCAGCCAACTAAGCTGGAATGGCATCAGAAAAAAAGCCAAGTGCTTGTAAGGTTGCTAGATAACTCAGTTAAAGTCAACGGTGGTCAGGGGTTTTCATCTCAACCACGACATTGTCAATACAACTGAGGTCCTAACAGATTGGTAGAAGTGCAAAAACCAAATAAAGAGGCTTAACCTAGAGTAGTGTCAACTTTCAGCCAGCGTCCTCAGCTATCCCTCACTCAGAACTATGCTTTTGGCAGATGCTCCGCAACACATTCAAGTCGGATCCATCATTACTCTATCCCCAGCGCACGTGCTGCTCGGCTGCACGCTCCCATTTAAGACCTCGGGTTGGTTTTACATGGAACATGAGCATAATTCCTATGAATAGTCATGGCCCTTACGCATGTATGGAGGAGAGAAGAGACCCTACTATTTATTATTTGTCCACGCCTGCTTGGAGACCTGGGAACTGACCAATACTGCGAAGGAAAGGGATGAATGCTGCGTAGCTTGAAAGGTAGACAAGTTGGCAGAAACAGGCTTATGGGCCTGCCTGCCTTGTCACTGCTTTCAAGACCCGTTTGAGCCATCACAGTTTAATGGCTGTGATAGAGTCTGACCTGCTTGACCTCCGCCTGGAGGTGTCGGAGCTGCAGGCACTGTTCCAGCCGCTTGTGAGTCTGATCGGCGTTAAGCTCTAGCTCATGCTGTTTCTCGTGGAGGAACTCCAGCAGCTCTTGCACTTGCGTTGCAAGATCAATGTCCTTTTCACAGATCAGCTCGATGCCTAAGACAAAGCAACACAGAGAGCAAAAGACAATTTCATTTATTTGCAATGCCTTCTGCAAGCATGTTTGCAGCCTGGAAGAATTTTCCCGCGTTGTGGTGAACCTCTCCTAGCAATTTATTCTTGCTAAACTCTCAAATAGCACATGGTTTTTTGTAGCACACAGGCTTGCCTATTAGTGCAGTTGAATTTCCTACAAGGGGATGTTTCTGTGCTGATAGCTATTTGTCTTGGTCACCTGCAAATGGCTGTTAGGACATGGTTTGACTCCAACATTTGCGGAGCTAGGCATTTAAAAAAAAAAAGCCTGATGAAGTCTAAACAATCAAAGACTATACTTTACTTCATTTCATTACGGTACCTCATAATTCACATTGCATAATCAAAGGAGGAGAGAAAGAAAGAAAATGTGTTAACTCCTGCCCCTACTTGGAGCTGGTAGGTGGGCGGCAGTGTGCCCATAACAGAGGGGTTATGTGTAGTGCCTTGCACTCTGGCAACCCCCAGCTGGCAGGATGGTCTGTAGGACATCACTTATTTAACTTAAGCCACCCCTTAAATTGCTCAAAATTGCACCATGGGACAAAAGAGTCTCCAACCAGCTCTGAACTCAGGGAATGGACATACGCCTTAAGCTTCCTGAGTTTTTGGTCCTACATCAGACGGACACAATTAGACCTAAGGATCTGTCCTAGCATATTATAGTCTTGTGAACACAGTGCAGAGCATCATGTTGTCCTCTTTGTTACAGGGGTCTAACAGAGGCAATGGCATATTACCAGTATAATGGAGAGCATTTGGCTTAGCCTCTCTATGCAACATCATTGCAGTCCATGTAATAATACACCGGTACGGGCCCGACTCTTTTTCTACCAAAGTCATTTGGAATTTTACCGATTGCAACTGGAATTGGAAAACACTATACTCTGCTTCAAAGTGATGTTATTATATACAATAAAAAAAGATATTGTAAGATAAAGAGAAGATACAGTGATCGTATCTTGTAAGATAAGATTTAAAAAAAAGGAAGGAAGTGCTAATTGGAAGCTTCTGTCCAGGAAACAAGGAAATTACATTTAGATGCATTCAACATGAAACTAAATTCTCCTTCCGTGTCCCAGCCCCCTGCACTTTCCACCTCTGTCACGGTGATGTCTGCAAAGGACTGAACTAAAAGCGAAACAATGCAGTGCCAACCCTTCCTTGCTTCCTCTGGTTTCTGGTTTTATCATAAAAGGCACATAGGAGGGACAGCGGTTAGCTAGGTCTCTTGTCCAGCCAACACGAAAAAAAGCTGCTTCATCACCCACGAAGGTGGACTACCCTGACTTCATATTTGGGATCTGCACATTTAATTTATGCTTCTGTTCTCGTGAGCACCACCCCTTTCAATTGCCAGGCATCCTGCATTGTTGTTTCAATTAGTTTGCATATGGTCCCATGTCCTTAGGACATGGCTGGAGTTTTGCATGCTTGACTTCCCCATACCTATTTGATATCAAGCTCACAGTTTTCCATCATGCACACACGGCTGGTGTGCACTTGATTGTGCTAACTCATCAGCAGCAACCAGTAAACTGCCTAGGATGGTATCCAAGGGCAGACTGCTCCCCTAGTGATGAATGATTTGCCCTTTTTTGCTTGTCATATGTCACACAGATTTATACTACAATGCCGGTGCAGGCAAAGAGAGCTCATTCTCCTCAAAGGTTGATTTGTAAAACATAAAGCATTTTGATGTTGCATTTCTGAAATAATTTCACACCACAGAACATTTTTTACATGGGGTTTTGATCACAGGAAAGCACAACTGACTGTTTAATCAAGTGAAGGCAGTTGCCACCTTTCTCAGCTCAAGGGACTACTGAATAGATTGGTTCAGCAAACCCTGAAGGGACTACGGACAGACTGGCAATTAGTGTTTTTAAGCTGATTTTTTAAAAAAATGAGTAGCCATAAGCACAACAACATGAATACAATGCAGCTCTCCATGATACTAGCACAGATCCAGAGGGAAAAAAATACAGTAAAGTACCTGGATTTACTTTGATGGAATTACAAGCATAATGTTTTGCCCCCCGTACTCCTTTTCCTGGATCCTTTGCTCAACTGAAGAGTTTTAAAGTTAAATATACTCATGTAAAGCCTGATCCAAAACCTTAGGAAATCAATGAAAAGACTACCATGGATTTCAATAGGTCTTGAATCAGCTGTACATTATTTTTCACATGATGCTTTAAGTTAGAGGAATGCCATAAAAACGCTAATTTGTTAAAATAAAATGAAATCTAAGGAGGAGTTGACACAGCATTAAAAAAAAAAAATAGGCTTGCGTGAATGCCAGAAATCAAATTTCTGACTTGAGTTCAACTTTTAAACAAACAAGTTTGCTAGCTCAATTTGTGATACCGGTAGCAGAATAATTATGTCTTTGCTAATAAATAACCGTCTTGCACATAATAACAACATTTTGCTAAAAACTGTATATTAAACATCACAGATGGAGTGCATTTATTGTTATTTATTCAGCCTTATCTGCACAACCTAAGTTGTAAGCGGCTTCCTTTAAACCCTGAAACGAAGTTACAAACAAATGTGTTTGCTGAATTATAATAGAAAAAAAAATCCATGTGCAGAACTGAACTGATCAGAAGGAGAAATTCCCGAGATTCAAATTCCAGGCATTTTAAGATTAGATTTGGCCATTAAAAATCCTCAGTTCCGAGCAGGTTGGACACACATTGCACTGGGTAAGAATTACTCCTGAACACTTAAAGACACGTACCTTGTGCTGGTTTAGGCCCCAGTTCAGGAAAAGGACTTTCGCGCATATTTAGCTACACTCACATACCTAAATCATGCTGAAACAAATGGGACATGCATAAAGCACCTATCTAATCATTTTCTTCACTAATGGACTTGAGCACTGCAACTGCATCTTAACTGCCTTATAATCTGGGCAAGCCCACTGGCAGATCTCTTAGCTGGTGCAGACTGCCATAGCTCTGTTATAATTAATGGGGTTACAACAACTGACACCAGCTGAAGATTGGCCCCACTGCCTTTAGTGGATTGGTTTGGGTGTAAGTTAGCATGGTTTATGGGCTGAATTCATCCTTGTTTTTAATTACACTGATTTCACTTGCAGTCAACTCAAGGATGGCATATGCAGCTTAAAAAACAAAGGACTGCTCAAGTCAAATTGTTGCCTCATCACTCACAGTGACAAGTGTCTTGCACTGTGAATATTCCCATTGACTTCAGCTGGGCTTTTTGCAATATAAGAAACTATTCAGCGTAAGTGAAGATATCACAGTTTGACCCTTACAGATCTGTGGTCAAAATGGACATGGATTTGCTCCTGAACTGAACAGTTAGAAGATGGGCCACGACTGTGTAAATTTTCCTCAATGTTGCCTTCACCCCTAACACAGACACACCATTTCTCTGGAAAAAAGAAGGCAGTTCAGTCTCCAGAGTGGCCCATTTGTGTCTTGACTCATCAGCATCAGTGGTGTTAATTAGTGCCAGTTGTGACAGTCGTTATGCAGTTTTCACATTCGTCTCCTAGGATCTAGACTAGGACCATCAAACGAATTACGACACACCTGTAATCAGCTGTCAGATGGTAACACCTGCTGATCAGCAGAAGTGAAACAACTAATGTCTGCATCAAGGAAATACGTGAATGCATGATTACTGGAGGCAGTGGAGTTATATCAGGGATGGATGCGAGACCTAGGCCAAGATCTTCAAAAATTAATGGTGATTTTGAGGGCTGACTTTTACGACAACTTAAACATTTTTCCTTTTCATCAATTTGAGGCCCTGCTTTCTGCAAAAAGGTCTCTTGAAGGTTGCTGAAGTTGGGTGCTCCATCAAAAAAAAATCACCATTTATGTTTGAAAATCTTGACCCTCGCGTTTTACATCCATTTCTCTTGGAAGCCTTATTTGGCCTGAGTAGAAAGTTACATGAATGAAGACAGAATCATTCAGTTAATAACAGCTACTTGCTCACCAGCCTTGGCCTTTAGCAAGTCTCCTCAGTGTATAAAATTGCTTCCTGAAGGACATGCATTTTCAGCAAAACCTCAAGACTTGCAATTTGGCTGAATAAAGGATCTCAGAGATCACAGTGTGGCTTTTAGAGAGTTTGTAGGAAATAATGAAATACAAAGCTTGTTTGAGAACAAATATTTTTACAGTGAAATCAGGTTAATTCTGATCTCATTTATCGATGTGTGTCAGATTAAAGCATCTGAAGGATATTAGCTCTATTGAGAGTGCATTTGTCTGGCTGACTTATTAGAATAAACCTTTCCAAGTCCACCCCATGAAAGAAATCACAGTCAAAACGGACTGAATCCCACGGCTGTCGAGTTTTAAAGGGAGAAGAGGAGGGGGGATAGCGGTATGATTAGGAGTGGAAAAGGCTATTGAATGCTCCTGCAGAACCATGAATTTATAGCACCGCCATCTGCATTTTCAACTAATTGTTGAGTGCAGCACTGGCGAGAATGCCGAGGATAAAACAATGACAACGGCTGATTTTCAGACCCCTTCAGGGATCTGCAGCTCTGTCCAGAAAAACAACCATCTCCTGACTTGCCCATGAGCATGTCTATGTAGGATCCAGTGACAGAGCAACATTAAGCACAATTTGCATGGAGTATATCTGTCTTTTATCAACATAAAGAACAGTGGTCATTAAAGAGCACCAGGTCTCCCTTATTAAGCCATCCTCCCAATATTCAGTTTTCCATGCAAAACGGGCATGGAAATAACCTTTGATGAAACCACAGCTACACTCACTTGGATTTTTGCTTCTTTTTTTTTTTTGCCTTTGGGGGCAAATGATTTTTCTCAGACACACATGGACATTACCCTGGGAGGCCAAGATTATCTTTTAAAAATATTTAAGATCTCACCCTGTTTAATGTCTGATCTTTTGTTTGGACTCTAAAGATGTTGTTTCTAATTTCCTGCAGCGTTAGAGGTCTGAACAAACACAGAGCGAGAGTTTTTCTAAAATCAATCAACCAGACTCCTGCCTGAGCTCTGCTCTGGATCACATCCTGTACCTCCCACGGCTCGACCCACACAGATACTTTCAGGATAAAAAAAAGTAGCTTCTTAACAGATTGACTGAGGCAATTTTACCAAAGAACAAAAAGCAGGGACTATCAGGCAAAGCACAGAACCAGGTGCACGGTGGGCAGATGCTGTGCAAGCTCGCACACTTGGTTCAGGCCAACGCACTATTGTGCAAGGTTGCCACTTAGCTTCTCCGAAGCCTCTGTTCAACATAGCTTGCCAAATCATGCTGAATATTTCCAACATTTTTTCAAATCGGGGTGCCCAGAGTTGAAAACATCACAGGGCAACAGGAGACCAACTAAATTACTTTTATTTGTATCCCGAACTCTGGCCTCTTATCTTAATTAAAAGTGGGGGGATTGCTCTGTGCTTCTTTCAAGGCACATGAGACGGTTAAAGCATGTGACAAAGAACAACAGACTGGACGTGGAGATTAATCGGTGTGATCTTATTCCCCAGGTGAGAATGCAAAAATCTGGATTCACAGTGCATGCTGGAAATCAAATCCCCCTGCTGAGAGGCAAGATAAAAGGTACTGGGCAGGTTCTCTGTGCACATGATTCAAGACAGCCATTTACACCTATGTGCCTGGAAAGCCTTGATACACAAGCAGCTCTCTTTCCTTGCAAGTGCACCTTGGAAGGTCAAATTATAAAATGATTTACCTTGTTTCCTTTTTTACACTGAAAATAAAGCAATTAGGACTAGCCAGAAAACAAGGATAGAGAAACAAAAGGCAAGGTTCACAAAAAATTCCAGGTTTTGAATATGACTTCATTCCCATGGGGCTTTCGGTTATTCTCCAGAAATGACACGTCAGACCTGTGAAACCTTCCCAATAATCATCAGCGCTGATCCATTGCCATGACATATCTCAGTTTCAATTAACTCCAATTTTTGGACCAAAAACATTGATCCACACTTTCCCAACCAACCCCAATGCCAAGGTGTTTCTGGACGGAAGAACCGACGCGGTTGCTGGACAGCAGCTGATGAAGATATGATGCAAACCGCCCTGCTTACCTGAAGCCTGGACTTCCATGATGTACTGATGTAAATCTTGCCCTTGCTGGATAACCTCGAAGGTCATGTTGTTCATGGCCAGCTTCCGCTCCGTGTGGCGCTGCAAGCGCTGCTCAGCCAGAGTGAGATCCTCAGTATTGAAATCGTTCATTTGCCTCAGCAAATCTTCATTCCAGGCGTCTAACTCTGCCGTTACCTTCAAAGGAAAAAGGCAGACACGGTTTGTACCGAGGCCAACAAGAAGTCTACTTCAAAACAGAATCTGGATCCTGATAATACTTTAAACTCTGGACCTGATAAAAAGCACCCTGAAATCAATTAAAAGGCGATTACAGACTTCACTGGGTTTTAGATGAGAGCCACATTATGCATCATTTTTTCCTTTTTTTTTTTTTTTTTTAACTGAACACAAAGGGTAATTTGTCAAAAATAACATAAAAGCTGAAACAAGGGTGGGGGGGGGATACATCTTCCAGAGATAATTTTAAGAAAAGCTCCATTCTGGCATCCTTGCAAACAGACATCAAATTTCTGACTTGAGTTCAATTTTTAAATAACCGGTTATGCTATCACAATTACAATATAATTTGTGATACTGGTAGGAACATAATTAGGCCTGTACCAAATCACTGGAGCGCCTTAAACATATTAAACACATTCTGGGATAAATTGTGTGTTAAATATCACAGATGGAACGCATTGATTGTTATTTATTCAGTCCTATCTACACATTTTAAACGATAAGCAGCTTCCCTTAAATCCTGAAACCAAGTTAACAATAAATATACAATAAATATACAATAAATATATTTGCTGAATTATAATAGACAAAAATATAGCCTACCTAGTACTGAACTGTTGTTTGGAGAGAGAGGTATCAAGGGACTTGCATGTCAAGACATTTGAAGCTTGGATTGACCAATTTAAGTATTTGAACTGGATACATATCATGGTTTTACATCAAGAATCACACCCACATGTAGCATCTGATAATGCAGGTTGTTGCTTACAAAAGCTGCTGCGCCTCTGAACCAGTTCATGCCTCTGGTGCTTCCCCGTCCTACCTTCTACACCCATTTAAAAATCAATGCAGAGCCTGTTAACTTCAATGGGCTTTGGAGCAGGCCCTTATGCAGCACTCTTTTCTGTGGATCTCGAAGTGCTTACACAGGTGGGATTTTCTTAAACTGCGTCTACAGACACATCACAGCGAGTCGGTGCCGAAATGAAGAAGAGAACCTCCGCTCTCAGTTTTAACCTTTGCCTCACATTGTCTCCAGCTATCTATTTGCTGAGGTTGTCAAGCTCAGCTTCCTCTGTTCCACCTTGCCTTGTTCCCCATTGCGGTACTCAGGCTGATGAGTCTAGCACGAGTCTATTATTACTTCTATTGAGTTATTGCCCCAAAGTACACAATCAATGTCGGAGTCCTGTTGCATTAACCTCTGGACAGTCACAAAGGAAGGCATGGTCCCTGCCTGAGTAGTGGCCAATCTACTTTGAAGCTGCATGCAGTAAGCAAGAACACCAAAGCACTGGGCAGAGCGGGGACTGGGGGGCCAGGGGAACAGTAATCAAATCATGCAGTTGGGCAAGCAGGCCTGTGCAAAATCAGATGGGTTCAAACCATTCTGAAATAATAACGGATGTGTAATGTCAGTTTGTCTGGCCTTGGAGGCCAATGAGAGATGCCTACATTGCGGGGGGGGGGCGTGGTTTTGTTCAATATCTTCATTAATGATCTGGAAGATGGGATGGATTGCACCCTCAGCAAGTTTGCAGATAACACCAAGCTGCGGGGTGTAGTAGGTAGATATGCTGGAGATCAGGGCTAGGATTCAGAGTGACCTAGACAAATTGGAGGATTGGGCCAAAAGGCATCTCATGAGGTTCAACAAGGTCAAGTGCAAAGTCCTGCACTTAGGAGGGAACAAACCCCTGCACCGGGACAGGCTGGGGGTGACTGGCTGGGCAGCAGCTCTGCAGAAAAGGACCTGGGGGTTACAGTGGACAATAAGATGGATATAGTCATCAGTGTGCTCTTGTTGTCAAGAAGGCTAATGGCATCCTGGGCTGCATTGGTAGAAGTGTCTCCAGTAGGTCAAGGAAAGTGATTATTCCCCTCTATTCTGCACTGGTGAGGCCACATCTGGTGGATTGTGTCCAGTTTTGGGCCCCCCACTACAGAAAGGATGTGGACAAGTTGGAGAGAGTCCAGCGGAGGGCAACGAAAATGGTTCGGGGGCTGGGGGACATAACTCACGAGAACGGGCTAAGGGAGGGGACAAGGGGGAAGGGAAGATTTAATAACAGCCTTCAACTACCTTTAGGGTGCTTCCAAAGAGGATGGAGCTGGACTGTTCTCAGTGGGGGCAGACGACAGAACAAGCAGCAATGGGATCAAGTTGCAGCAAGGGAGGTTTAAGTTGGATATTAGGAAATCTTTTTGACTATAAGGGTAGTAAAGGACTGGAACAGGTGACCTAGAGAGGTGGTACAATCTCCATCCTTGGAGGGTTTTAAGACCCAGGTAGACAAAGCCCTGGCTAGAATGATTTAGCTGGGACTGGTCCTGCTTTGAGTAGGGGATTGGACTAGATGTGACCTCCTGAGGTCCCTTTAACCCTCATTTTCTATGATTTTCTATTTTCTAAATAGAATCCATCTAAATCTGTACATAGGGACCTCTGTCAAAGCTGAGTGATTTTCTGAAGTGTGAAGCAGCTACAGTTTTCCAATAAATCAGTGGGATTTATGGTTGCCTAAATATGTACTTCAGGTGACTAACTTTAGGCACTCATATTTAACCATTTTAGCTTCAACAATACTCCCAAGGCTACTGAAATAAACCCTGGGCAGAGCCCAGAATAGAAATGAGGCCTTCCGGCTTCAAGTTCTTTGCATGTGGCTGTGGACAGGAAGTGAAAAGACAGCTATTTATTTTTAAAATAAAAATGCAAGTGTAGACGCCTTTTTAGAGTTGTCTTTGGGAAAAAAAGGCACACCATTTTTGGGGTGGTTTTTTTCCCACCTCATTCAAATCAGTAACAGGTTCACAAACTCATGACCAAAGTTGTGGGGTGAAAGGCAAAGCACAGACAATCCTGAGGGCATTCCATTTTCATTCCACCGTCTCCTTTGCCCATTGCACTCAATTCACTTTAAATAATAATGATCTCTGTTTACAGTCTCTCTGGCCCCCTTCCCAATTCCCATGGCCCCCCATTCACTCGCACTCCTGAGTTAATTGGAGTCTCTGCAATGTGGTGGCTTATTGGCAGATTTTCCATTCCAGGAATTGCTTCTCTAGGGCTCAGTAGTCATGGTGAAAATTGGAAAGGAGTCTTGGTGGAAAACTACAGAGGGTTTTACAGGAAAAAAAGTCTCTGCTAATATTAAGGGAGACGGGGGCTATTTTGCATTTTAAACTGGAGACAACATAACAAACACGTGGATCTTCAAGCTGGCAAAGAATACCACTAATAATGGCAGCAGTACTCAAGATGCCATGTGAAGCCCATTCTGCTTGTGCAAGCCGATAGAAAAGCGTATCGTTTTACTGGAGCTGAAGGAGGTTTTATTTTTATTGGCTATCAAGAGCACTGCCTGCCATAGCTCATTGCATGGATCGTCAGGCTGCTGAAACACGGACATCTGAACATTGATAGCCAAGGGAATCAACTGACTTCCCAGGTTCCTGTAGACATGCTCATTTGTACTGGGAAAGCTAGCTAAGGTATTTATAAATAACAGTAATAGGAAGGAATCAGAAATCCTACATGTGTCACTTAATTTCTCTTACTGATTTCATACTCAAAGTAAAATCTCCATCCTGCGTCTGCCCGTTTGCTCTGAACAGGAAGTATCTTTGTGGGTCTCTCACCCAGTTGATCTGCCCAGGCGGTTGTAGTTGGAGCAGAGAAAACGGGCAGCGACCCAAAGAGGTTCCTCATCTCAATAGATTTTTGCATCCCACAGAAGGCAGAGAGATGTGGCCCATGGAGCCACAGATATCCAACTTGTGGGGCTCCCAAAGGATTGGCGGCAAGGGGAATGGTGGCAATAATATGGCTGCCCTCCCCCCTGCCAAATTCCTAAACCTCGACCATGCACCAGGTTGGGGCCACGTCACATCTGTTCCCCCAACCCTTGCAGCTGGATAAGGCTGGGCCATGTCCCTTCCCCCAGGCTGGATGGGGCTGGGCCATGCCCCCTTCCCCCTGTGGGGCCAGCTTAAGTCCCCTTCCCCTCCACTGGAGTCAACTTCCTTCTCCCTATGGAGCTGGATTGGGGCTGGGCCATGCCCCTTTCCCCCCATGGGGCTGGGCCCTGCCCTCTCCCTTCCATCTCAGAGGGGCCAGGTTGGAGTTGGGATGCCCCCTGCCCTCTTCCACATGGCTGGATGGGGCCCTGCTGCAACTGCCCTGTGCCAGATGTGGACTAGCAGCCAGACTGAGCCCACAGACAGCCTGGGCACTGCCCGTCTGACCCGCTGGCCGAAAAGGTTGAGCACCACTGCACTAGTTAGTTAAATGAGTTACAGCATTTGTGGGCCGCTGCTCACATTATACAGCTTGCTTTTCAGAAGTTGATTACGCAGCTGAATGCCCTGAATCTTGGTACTCAAGATTTCAGTGTCAAGGGCTTCTAAAATATAAAGAAAAGCAAATATATGGCTCATGGAAGAAGCCAAAGGCACCAGCATGGTGCTCATCCCCTCCACCATCTTCCCTGCTGTTCTCTCACACCTGTGCTTACCTCTCCTGCAAAATTTGCCCCTTTCCATTGCTGCGATGAGGGTTGGAGGGCAGAGTAAGCACAGGTGGCTTGGGAGCTCTGGGTCTGAGATTTGCAGCCCATGGTGGGGCTGGGTCACAAGCACCAGCCTGAGGGGGCAAAGGATTGCTGACCCCCAGTCTAAATAAATGAGATAGACTGATGGTGGGAAGGGAAACTGAGGAATATGAAGTAAACTAATTAACTTTGCAGTAGGTTAGTACTTGTAAATACAAGTACTATCCTACTGCAGAGTTTTTTTCACTTTGCAGCAGCACACCTATAGATGCTGACCAGGCTGGCTGGGGCATGACGTCAGATGCCCCAGCCAGCCCCTCCCCATCAGAGCAGTCCTGGGCTGGCGGACTGACTCCCCAGGCTCCCTGCAAGCCCAGGGCTCCTCTGACTTGGCTCAATGTG